AGACTCACACAGAGACCCGTAGACTCACACAGAGACACAGACTCACAAAGAGACATGTAGACTCACACAGAGACACGTAGACTCACACAGACACCCGTAGACTCACACAGAGACCCATAGACTCACTCAGAGAGCCGTAGACTCACTCAGAGACCCGTAGACTCACACAGAGACCCATAGATTCACACAGAGACCCGTAGACTCACACAGAGAGCCGTAGACTAACACAGAGACTCATAAGACTCACACAGAGACCCCTAAGACTAACACAGAGACACGTAGACTCACACAGAGACCCGTAGACTCACACAGAAACCCATAGACTCACCCAGAGAGCCCTAGACTCACGCAGAGACCCATAGACTCACACAGACACCCATAGACTCACACAGAGACCCGTAGACTCACACAGAGACCCCTAAGACTAACACAGAGAGCCGTAGACTCACACAGAGACCCGTAGACTCACACAGAAACCCGTAGACTCACCCAGAGAGCCGTAGACTCACACAGAGACACGTAGACTCACACAGAGACCCGTAGACTCACACAGAAACCCGTAGACTCACCCAGAGAGCCCTAGACTCACGCAGAGACCCATAGACGCACACAGACACCCATAGACTCACACAGAGACCTGTAGACTCACACAGAGACACGTAGACTCACACAGAGACCCATTCACTCACACAGAGACCCGTAGACTCACACAGAGAGCCGTAGACTCACGCAGAGACCCGTAGACTCACACAGAGACTCATAAGACTCACACAGAGACCCATAGACTCACACAGAGACCCGTAGACTCACACAGAGACCCATACACTCACCCAGAAAGTGGTAGACTCGCACAGAGGCACGTAGACTCACACAGAAACCCATAGACTCACTCAGAGAGCCGTAGACTCACACAGAGACCCGTAGACTCACACAGAGACCCGTAGACTCACACAGAGACACGTAGACTCACACGGAAACCCATAGACTCACTCAGAGAGCCGTAGACTCACTCAGAGACCCGTAGACTCACACAGAGACCCGTAGACTCACTCAGAGAGCCGTAGACTCACACAGACACCCGTAGACTCACACAGAGACCCATAGATTCACACAGAGACCCGTAGACTCACACAGAGACCCGTAGAATCACAAAGAGACACGTAGACTCACACGGAAACCCATAGACTCACTCAGAGAGCCGTAGACTCACTCAGAGACCCGTAGACTCACACAGAGAACCGTAGACTCACTCAGAGAGCCATAGACTCACACAGACACCCGTAGACTCACACAGAGACCCATAGATTCACACAGAGACCCGTAGACTCACACAGAGACACGTAGACTCACACAGAGACGCATTCACTCACGCAGAGGCACCATAGACTCACACAGAGACCCATAGACTCACTCAGAGAGCCGTAGACTCACACAGAGACCTGTAGACTCACACAGAGACCCGTAGACTCACACAGAGACCCATAGACTGACACAGAGACATGTAGCCTCACACAGAGACCCATAGACTCACTCAGAGACCCGTAGACTTACACAGAGACCCGTAGACTCACACAGAGACCCATAGACTCACAGAGACGCCTAAGGCTCACACATATACCTGTAGACTCACACAGAAAACAATAGGCTCACACAGAGACCAGTAGACTCACACAGAGACCTGTAGACTCACACAGAGACCCGTAGACTCACACAAAGACCCCTAGGACTAACACAGAGACCCGTAGACTCACACAGAGACACGTAGACTCACACAGAGACCCATTCACTCACGCAGAAGCACCATAGACTCACACAGAGACCCATAGACTCACACAGAGACCCATAGACTCACACAGAGACCCCTAAGGCTCACACATATACCTGTAGACTTACACAGAAAACCATAGGCTCACACAGAGACCAGTAGACTCACACAGAGACCCATAGACTCACACAGAGACCCGTAGAATCACACAGAGACCCCTAAGACTCACACAGAGACCCGTAGACTCACGCAGACACCCGTAGACTCACACAGAGACCCGTAGACTCACACAGAGACCTGTAGACTCACACAGAGACACATAGACTCACAAAAAAACACATAGACTCACACAGAGACACGTAGACTCACACAGAGACCCGTAGACTCACGCAGAGACCCATTCACTCACGCAGAGACCCACAGACTCACACAGAGACCCATAGACTCACACAGAGACCCGTAGACTCACACAGAGACGCGTAGACTCACGCAGAAACCCATAGACTCACACAGAGACACGTAGACTCACACAGACACCCGTAGACTCACACAGAGACCCATGGACTCACACAGATACCCATAGACTCACACAGAGACCCATAGACTCACACAGACACCCGTAGACTCACACAGAGACACGTAGACTCACACAGAGACCCCCATAGACTCACACAGAGACCCATAGACTCACACAAAGACCCATAGACTCACACAGAGACCCATAGACTCACACAGAGACCCATTCACTCACGCAGAGACCCGTAGACTCACACAGAGACCCTTAGACTCACACAGAGACGCGTAGACTCACACAGAGACCCATAGACTCACACAGAGACCCGTAGACTCACACAGAGACGCGTAGACTCACGCAGAAACCCGTAGACTCACACAGAGACCCATAGACTCACACAGAGACCCATAGACTCACACAGAGACACGTAGACTCACACATAGACCCCTAGATTCACACAGAGATCCAGAGACTCATTACAGAGACCCGTAGAATCACACAGAGACCCCTAAGACTCACACAGAGACCCGTAGACTCACGCAGACACCCGTAGACTCACACAGAGACCCGTAGACTCACACAGAGACCTGTAGACTCACACAGAGACACATAGACTCACAAAAAAACACATAGACTCACACAGAGACACGTAGACTCACACAGAGACCCGTAGACTCACGCAGAGACCCATTCACTCACGCAGAGACCCACAGACTCACACAGAGACCCATAGACTCACACAGAGACCGTAGACTCACACAGAGACGCGTAGACTCACGCAGAAACCCATAGACTCACACAGAGACACGTAGACTCACACAGACACCCGTAGACTCACACAGAGACCCATGGACTCACACAGATACCCATAGACTCACACAGAGACCCATAGACTCACACAGACACCCGTAGACTCACACAGAGACACGTAGACTCACACAGAGACCCCCATAGACTCACACAGAGACCCATAGACTCACACAAAGACCCATAGACTCACACAGAGACCCATAGACTCACACAGAGACCCATTCACTCACGCAGAGACCCGTAGACTCACACAGAGACCCTTAGACTCACACAGAGACGCGTAGACTCACACAGAGACCCATAGACTCACACAGAGACCCGTAGACTCACACAGAGACGCGTAGACTCACGCAGAAACCCGTAGACTCACACAGAGACCCATAGACTCACACAGAGACCCATAGACTCACACAGAGACACGTAGACTCACACATAGACCCCTAGATTCACACAGAGATCCAGAGACTCATTACAGAGACCCATAAACTCACACAGAGACACATAGACTCACACAGAGACCCATAGACTCACACAGAGACACGTAGACTCACACAGAAACTCGTAGACTCACGCAGAGACCCGTAGACTCACGCAGAGACCCATAGACTCACACAGAGACTCATAGACTCACACAGAGCCTCATAGACTCACACAGAGACCCATAGACCCACGCAGAGACCCATAGACTCACGCAGAGACTCATAGACTCACACAGAAACCCATAGACTCACACAGAGACCCATAGACTCACACAGAGACCCCTAAGACTAAGACAGAGACCAGGAGACTCACACAGAGACCCATTCACTCACGCATAGACCCGTAGACTCACACAGAGACCCATAGACTCACACAGAGACACGTAGACTCACACAGACACCCGTAGACTCACACAGAGACCCATGGACTCACACAGACACCCACAGACTCACACAGAGTATCATGGACTCACACAGAGACACGTAGACTCACACAGACACCCGTAGACTTACACAGAGACCCATGGACTCACACAGACACCCACAGACTCACACAGAGTATCATGGACTCACACAGAGACACGTAGACTCACACAGACACCCGTAGACTTACACAGAGACCCATAGACTCACGCAGAGACCCCTAAGACTAAGACAGAGACCCGTAGACTCACACAGAGACCCATTCACTCACGCAGAGACCCGTAGACTCACACAGAGACCCATAGACTCACACAGAGACACGTAGACTCACACAAACACCCGTAGACTCACGCAGAGACCTGTAGACTCATGCAGAGACCCATAGACTCACACAGAGACTCATAGACTCACACAGAGACTCATAGACTCACACAGAGACTCATAGACTCACACAGAGACTCATAGACTCACACAGAGACCCATAGACTCACACAGAGACTCATAGACTCACACAGAGACTCATAGACTCACAAAGAGACCCATAGACTCACGCAGAGACCCATAGACTCACGCAGAGACTCATAGACTCACACAGAAACCCATAGACTAACACAGAGACCCATAGACTCACACAGAGACCCTAAGACTAAGACAGAGACCCGTAGACTCACACAGAGACCCATTCACTCACGCAGAGACCCGTAGACTCACACAGAGACCCATAGACTCACACAGAGACACGTAGACTCACACAGACACCCGTAGACTCACACAGAGACCCATGGACTCACACAGAGACCCATAGACTCACACAGAGACCCATGGACTCACACCAAGACACGTAGACTCACACAGACACGCGTAGACTCACACAGAGACACGTAGACTCACACAGAGACCCATAGACTCACGCATAGACCCATATATTCACACAGAGACCCATAGACTCACACAGAGACCCATAGACTCACACAGAGACCCATAGACTCACACAGGAATTAAAGATTCATCTTTTTATTTTATTTATTTTTCTTCTCTCTCTGTGTTGTAACGTACCCCACCCTGTAGCCCACGTGTTGTGATGTAGCCCACCCTGTAGCCCACGTGTTGTGATGTAGCCCACGTGTTGTGATGTAGCCCACGTGTTGTGATGTACCCCACCCTGTAGCCCACGTGTTTTGATGTACCCCACTATGTAGCCCACGTGTTGTGATGTAGCCCACGTGTTGTGATGTACCCCACCCTGTTGCCCACGTGTTGTGATGTACCTCACCCTGTAGCCCACGTGTTGTGATGTACCCCACTCTGTAGCCCGCGTGTTGTGATGTAGCCCACGTGTTGTGATGTACCCCACCCTGTAGCCCACTCTGTACTCTGTGCCCGCTCCCATCATCTCGTGGCCCCACTACCCCGAGTCTGTGCTGTCGGAGTCTTCAACCCGGATCCGGTTCCGTGGAGTAAATCTGCACACACCACACACACCACACACCACACACACACACAGACCACACACACACCACACACACCACACACCACACACACACCACACACACACCACACACACCACACACCACACACACACCACACACACACACCACACACACCACAAACACACCACAGACACCACACACACACACGTCATCATCACGTGATGAAGTACGTCATCGTGCACGTACATCATCACGTACGTCATCACACACACACGTCATCACACACAAACACACGTACGTCATCACACACACAAACACACGGACGTCATCACACACACACGTACGTCATCACACACACACTTACGTCATCACACACACACGTACATCATCACACACACATGTCATCACACACACACACGTACGTCATATCACACACACACACGTACGTCAACACACACACACACACACACGTATGTCATCACACACCTACGTACGTCATCACACACACACACACACGTACGTCATCACACACACATACACACACACACGTGTCATCAGACACACACACGTACGTCCTCTCACACACACGTACGTCATCACACACACACATGTCATCACACACACGTACGTCATCACACACACGTACGTCATCACACACACGTACGTCATCACACACACACGTGCGTCATCACACACACACGTACGTCATCCCACACACACACGTACGTCATCACACACACGTATGTCATCACACACACACACGTACGTCATCACACACACACGTACGCCATCACACACACACACATCACACACACGTACGTCATCATCACGTACGTCATCATCACGTACGTCATCATCACGTACGTCATCATAACATACGTCATCAGACACACACACGTACGTCATCACACACACACACGTCACACACACGTACGTCATCATCACGTACGTCATCATCACGTACGTCATCAGACACACACGTACGTCATCAGACACAAACACACGTACGTCATCACACACACACACGTCACACACACGTACGTCATCATCACGTACGTCATCATCACGTACGTCACCATCAAGTATGTCATCATCACATACGTCATCAGACACACACACAAGTATGTCATCAGACACATACACACGTATGTCATCAGACACACACACACGTACGTCATCATCACGTATGTCATCATCACGTACGTCATCAGACACACACACGTACGTCATCATCACGTACGTCATCATCACATACGTCATCAGAAGCACAAACACGTACGTCATCAGACACACGCATGTACGTAATCACACACACACGTACGTCATCACACACACACACATCACACACACGTATGTCATCACACACACACACGTACGCCATCACACACACACGTCACACACACGTACATCATCACACACGCACGTACGTCATCACACACACGTCACACACACGTACGTCATCATCACGTACGTCATCATCACGTACGTCATCAGACACACACGTACGTCATCAGATACACACACGTACGTCATCGCACACACACACACGTCACACACACGTACGTCATCATCACGTACGTCATCATCACGTACGTCATTATCACGTATGTCATCAGACACACACACACGTACGTCATCATCACGTACGTCATCATCACATACATCATCAGACACACACGCACGTACGTCATCAGACACACACACGTACGTCATCATCACGTACGTCATCATCACATACGTCATCAGACACACAAACACGTACGTCATCAGACACACGCACGTACGTCATCAGACACACGCATGTACGTCATCACACACACACGTACGTCATCACACACACACAACAACAACAACAACCGCCATTCGCCACTAAGTGGCGGTGACGTCACCACGATGCTTGTGCCAGGCTATGTGCACCGTGAGGCCACGTAAAGTGTCGAACGCCCGCTGGCAGGAGGTCACTGGGCAGACCCAGGTGCCACGGGTCGACTGACTGAGATGACAGGCTGATGCACCACCTGTGCCCCCTACTGTGCCAACCTGCTGTGCTTTAGCCACCCGGCGTTCCGCTCGTTGTTGTGAGCGTCGCTCCTCCGCCCTCCGTTGTTGTTGGAGGGCGACTACCTCCAACTGCCCAGTAGCATCCTTCACGAGCCTCCTCCACATAGGCCGATCTTGACACCGCTGGTACCAGTCATCGGCAAGTCCACTCAGCTCCACGTCCTCCTGTACCACATCACTCCATCTCTTCTCTAGCCCGTGCCGCGCCCGCTTAGACCCCTCAATCCGACCAAACAAAAGCTGTTTCGGCATGCGGTGGCTGGGCATGCGGGCTACATGACCCAGCCATCGCAGCCTTGCCTGCCGGAGGAGCTCACCGATGGGACCTTGCCCAGATCTTTCAAGGATTTGTGAGCTCCTCACACAATCCAGTCTGGTTAAACCCAGGATGGATCGTAGGCAGGCCAGCCTAAATGTTTCTAACCGGCGAAGATGTTCCACCAGGGGGGTCCACGTTTCGCAAGCGTAGAGAAGGGAGGGAATGACCGTGGCCGAGAAGACCTGAAGCTTAGTGCGGAGCGACAGACCAGGTAGCTTCCACACAGCGTTACGCAACCGATGAAAATATATTGCCGCTCGACTGATTCGGAGTGAGACCTCTGCTGTTAAACTGGAGCCAGTCATAAGCACACTGCCCAGGTATGGGAAACTCTCCACTCTCTCCACAACTGCCCCATCACCGATTGGGACTTGTGGGGGTGGAGTGTCCGATGGTACAAAATACCCAGGCAGGTGCTTACTTTTGGTGGGGCTGATGGTAAGGCCCCACCTCTTAGTGGCACGCTCCAGTCTCAGCAGCAGCGTCTCCAACTCCTCCTCTGACTGAGCAGCTATTACCAAATCATCAGCATACATAACGTGGTTGAGCAATAGGGAGCCATCCCTTGACCGCACCCGGGCATCGATTAGCCTCCCATTATATCTGTACCATATGGAGATTCCCCCGGTACAGCTATTGAAGGCTTCACGAACTACGTGGTCAAAATAGATGTTAAATAATGTGGGAGCCAGAGGACATCCCTGTCGCACCCCAAGGTGTACAGGGAATGGCTCGGACTCCCGGCCACGTAGTTTTACCCGGGCCCGCTCACCATCATGAAGGTCCTTAATGATCGTGAGCAGAGGGTCAGGTACTCCAAAAGCACGAAGAACGACCCAGAGCCCAGGCCTACTGATGGTATCATAGGCCTTGACCAGGTCAATAAAGCAGAGATGTAGGTCTTGTTGGAATTCCCTACACCTCTGCTGTAGCAGACGGACAGAAAATATGGCATCTGTGCAGGACCGCCCTTTCCTGAAACCGCATTGGGGCTCCGCAAGCCTCTCCTCAGCGTGCCTGGCAAGGCGATGCTGAATAATCCTTGCCAGGACCTTTCCCGGCACACTGAGGAGTGAGATGCCCCTGTAGTTGTTACAGTCTGTGCGGTCCCCGTTCTTAAAAAGGGGGACCACCAGGGCATCCTTCCAATCCTGCGGAACCCGTCCAGTGGTCCAGACTGTTGTTATGATGTCATATAGGGCAGTCTGTGCACAAACGCCACCCTCCCTCAGCATTTCGCTTGGGAGATCATCTCTGCCCGCTGCCTTTCCTGGTCTCAGACTCCGGATCGCCTTCAATACTTCCTCAGCAGATGGCACCTCAGCCAGCCACTCACAGGGGGTGACTTCTTCCAATATTTGAGGCACCGCAGCCTCAGCAGGGTCATCCTCACTTTGTGCCACGATGTTTTCCTGGCTGAGGGATTTTCCCTCCCCCAGGACCTCACAGAAATGCTCAGCAAATCTGCGAACCTGTTCCTGGGGGTCGGAGATTGGATCACCGTTTTTTCCCCTAATGATGGTAATAGGTGTGGCGCTGCAGGTTACTTTTTTGATGGAGTTAAATAGAGATTTGTGATCACGGGCCACTGAGGCAGACTCCATCTCCTCAGCAACCCGCGACCACCACCCATCCTTGCAGCGCCTCACGGCTCTCCGAACCTCCGAGCGAAGGCTGCGGTAAGCCTCCTCATTCTCTGACGTGGGATTCTGTAGCCGATGACAGTGGGCCTGTCGCTTTTTCTCAACCATCCTGAACACCTCCTCTGTCAGCCAGGGTCTCTGGGGAGGTCTGGACCGCGTACCCAAAGCAGCCATTGCAGCTGCATGAGTCACAGTCCTAAACCTCGCCCATTTACCCTCGACATCAGGAGGAGTCGGGGACGATGCCAATCCCAGCCGCAAGCGATGATGAAATTCTCGCTTGCAACTTTCATCAGATAACTGAGACCAGGCCACTTATTGTTGGAATGGGGTCCTGGGTGTACACCCACCACCGGAGTGGAAGAATGGCAGGCGCATCTTACAGATGACTAGTCGATGGTCAGAGGGCAGATCAGCTCCACGGTAGGTCCTGGTGTCAAGGACATGGGCTCGCATTCGCTGGTCCGTCACTATGTAGTCCAGCAGATGTTCTTGCTTGGACCCGGCATGCATCCATGATGTTGTGTGGATGCGCCGATGCCGGAACAGCGTGTTGCTAATTACAAGCCCATGGGCTGCACAAAAATCTAGCAGCCTCCTACCGTTGTTATTGAGCTGATCTGGCCCATGCCCTCCAATCACTCCAGACCAGGTGCCAGTATCATGACCACCTCGGGCATTGAAGTCACCCAACATGATGACTCTATCCCGAGGGGCCACTTTAGCCAGCACCTGTGACAGGAGGTCATAGAAGGCATCTGACTCATCGGCTTTGCCTGCATCCCTCCACGGATGTTCATCTTCGGTGGGGGCATAAGTAACCACGACCACCATTCCTCGCCTCCGGTTGATGGGAAGGCGAGCCCAAAGTAGCCTGGGGCTTACAGCTTCCCACACCTCACCGCCACGCTCCCACGCCCCCTTCATTCTTTTGTTCAAAAGAAGACCCACACCCTGTTGTTTGGCAGTCTGCTGCCCCGAGTAGAGGACTGTCCACCCCTCATGGTGGCAGGAGCCAGAGCCGGTCCACCGGACCTCCTGTACGTCATCACACACACGTACGTCATCACACACACACGTCACACACACGTACGTCATCACACACACGTACATCATCACACACACACACGACCGTCATCACACACACACGTACGTCATCACACACACACGTCACACACACGTACATCATCACACACGCACGTACGTCATCACACACACGTCACACACACGTACGTCATCATACACACGTACTTCATCACACACACACGAACGTCATCACACACACACGTACGTCATCACACACACGTCACACACACGTACGTCATCACACACACACACACGGACGTCATCATACACACACGTACGTCATCACACACACACACGTCACACACACGTACGTCATCACACACACGTACATCATCACACACACACACGACTGTCATCACACACACACGTACATCATCACACACACACGTCACACACACGTACATCATCACACACGCACGTACGTCATCACACACACGTCACACACACGTACGTCATCATACACACGTACTTCATCACACACACACGTACGTCATCACACACACACGTACGTCATCACACACACGTCACACACACGTACGTCATCACACACACACACACGGACGTCATCATACACACACGTACGTCATCATACACGCACGTACGTCATAACACACGTACGTCATCACACACGCACACGTCACACATACGTATGTCATCACACACACACACGTCACACACACGTACGTCATCATACACACACGTACTTCATCACACACACACACATCACACACACACACCTACACCATCACACACACACACACGTACGTCATCACACACACACACGTACGTCATCACACACACACACGTACGTCATCACACACACACGTCACACACACGTACGTCATCACACACACACGCACGCGTGCGCCGTCAAAAAAAAAACACCCGGGAGAGGGTTCCTCACCCCTCCCACCCCCATCCCGCCCCACCTCCACGATTCCCATTTCGTTGTCTGACGGACCTGGCGGTGGGCAGGCCCCGTTTGAGATCCTCCGGGCCCCGTTGGAGATCCTCCGGGCCCCGTTGGAGATCCTCCGGGCCCCGGCCGGCCCCCACGCGTGCCCCCAGTAGCGAGCGCAGCTCCACCTCCAGGCTCTGCTCCTCCAGCTGGCGCTCGGCCCTCCTCAGCTGGGCCCGCTGCTGCTCCAGCTGCTCCTCCTGCTGCAGGAGCTGCGACTTCAGGGCCTTTGAGCGGATCGTGGCCTTGCGGTGGTTCGGGAGGGGGTGGGGGGGGGGATGGGGGGGAGTCAAGGGGCGAAGGGGTCGAAGGTCAGAGGTTGTCCGTGCATCTGTCCGTCCGCCCGTCCATTCACCGGTCCGTTCACCGGTCCGTCTGTCCATTCGTCAACTGTCTGTCTGTGTGTCCATCCATCTGTCCATCCATTCAACAGACTGTCCATCCATCAACCATCTGTCCGTCCATCTAACCGACTGTCCATCCATCCATCCATCTAACCGTCTGTCCATCCATCTGTCCATCCATTCAACCGTCTGTCCATCCATCCGTCCATCTAACCGACTGTCCATCCATCTAACCATCTGTCCAACCATCTAACCGACTGTCCATCCATCTAACCGACTGTCCATCCATCTAATCGACTGTCCATCCATCTAACTGACTGTCCATCCATCTAACCGACTGTCCATCCATCTAACTGACTGTCCATCCATCTAAGCGACTGTCCATCCATCTAACCGACTGTCCATCCATCTAACCGACTGTCCGTTCATCTAACAGACTGTTCATCCATCTAACCGACTGTCCATCCATCTAACCGACTGTCCATCCATCTAACCGACTGTCCATCCATCTAACCGTCCATCCATCCATCTAACCGACTGTCCATCCATCTAACCGACTGTCCATCCATCTAACCGACTGTCCGTTCATCTAACAGACTGTTCATCCATCTAACCGACTGTCCATCCATCTAACCGACTGTCCATCCATCTAACCGACTGTCCATCCATCTAACCGTCCATCCATCCATCTAACCGACTGTCCATCCATCTAACCGACTGTCCATCCATCTAATCGACTGTCCATCCATCTAACCGACTGTCCATCCATCTAACCGACTGTCCATCCATCTAAGCGACTGTCCATCCATCTAACCGTCCATCCATCCATCTAACCGACTGTCCATCCATCTAATCGACTGTCCATCCATCTAACCGACTGTCCATCCATCTAACCGACTGTCCATCCATCTAACCGTCCGTCCATCCATCTAACCAACTGTCCATCCATCTAACCGACTGTCCATCCATCTAACCGTCTGTCCATCCATCTAATCGACTGCCCATCCATCTGTCCGTCCATCCATCTAACCGACTGTCCATCCATCTAACCGTCTGTCCATCCATCTAATCGACTGCCCATCCATCTGTCCGTCCATCCATCTAACCGACTGTCCATCCATCTAACCGACTGTCCATCCATCTAACCGTCCGTCCATCCATCTAACCGACTGTCCATCCATCTAACCGACTGTCCATCCATCTAACCGACTGTCCATCCATCTAACCGTCCGTCCATCCATCTAACCAACTGTTCATCCATCTAACCGACCGGCCATCCATCTAACCGACTGTCCATCCATCTAACCGTCTGTCCATCCATCTAACCAACTGTCCATCCATCTAACCGACTGTCCATCCATCCACCGACCCGTCCACCACCACCCCCACCTCCTCGCGGTCGCCACGAAGCGTCTGCAGCTCCTCCTGAGCCTCCCGCAGCATCTCCCTCAGCTTCTTCTCGGCTCTCCTCTCCGCTCTGCGCTCGCTGGGGGCAGACGCGGGGGAGGTGGTGGAGGAGGGGGACGAGGAGGTGGAGGAGTAGGAGGAGGTGAAGGAGGTGGTGGAGGAGGGGGAGGAGTTGAAGGAGGTAGTGGAGGTAGAGGAGGAGGTGGAGGAGGTGGAGGAGGTGCAGGGAGGGAGGGAGGGTTTATGAACGTCCACGTGGTGATGATGATGATGAAGACATCAGCCCACGTGATGATGATGAAGACATCAGCCCACGTGATGATGATGATGATGAAGACATCAGCCCACGTGATGATGATGAAGACATCAGCCCACGTGGTGATGATGATGATGATGAAGACATCAGCCCACGTGGTAGTGATGATGACATCAGCCCACGTGGTAGTGATGATGATGAAGACATCAGCCCACGTGGTAGTGATGAAGACATCAGACCACGTGGTAGTGATGATGATGAAGACATCAGCCCACGTGGTAGTGATGATGATGAAGACATCAGCCCACGTGGTAGTGATGAAGACATCAGACCACGTGGTAGTGATGATGACATCAGCCCACGTGGTAGTGATGATGATGAAGACATCAGCCCACGTGGTAGTGATGATGACATCAGCCCACGTGGTAGTGATGATGACATCAGCCCACGTGGTAGTGATGATGACATCAGACCACGTGGTAGTGATGCTGACATCAGCCCACGTGGTAGTGATGATGACATCACGCCCACGTGGTAGTGATGATGACATCACGTGGTTGAGCTGCAGTCAAGTTGTGATGGCTTCGTCCCGCTTAGCGGGGCCTCACACCTGGTGACGTGAACATCGTGGAGGGTGGCCCAGAAGTCAGGACACATAGGGGTTGTTGTTGTTGTTGTGACACAGGGTGGCCCAGAAGTCAGGACACATAGGGGTTGTTGTTGTTGTTGTACAGGGTGGCCCACAAGTCAGGACACATAGGGGTTGTTGTTGTTGTTGTACAGGGTGGCCCACAAGTCAGGACACATAGGGGTTGTTGTTGTTGTACAGGGTGGCCCAGAAGTCAGGACACATAGGGGTTGTTGTTGTTGTACAGGGTGGCCCAGAAGTCAGGACACATAGGGGTTGTTGTTGTTGTTGTGAAGGGTGGCCCACAAGTCAGGACACATAGGGGTTGTTGTTGTTGTTGTGTAGGGTGGCCCAGAAGTCAGGACACATAGGGGTTGTTGTTGTGTAGGGTGGCCCACAAGTCAGGACACATAGGGGTTGTTGTTGTTGTTGTTGTACAGGGTGGCCCAGAAGTCAGGACACATAGGGGTTGTTGTTGTTGTTGTGAAGGGTGGCCCACAAGTCAGGACACATAGGGGTTGTTGTTGTGAAGGGTGGCCCACAAGTCAGGACACATAGGGGTTGTTGTTGTTGTGTAGGGTGGCCCAGAAGTCAGGACACATAGGGGTTGTTGTTGTTGTTGTGTAGGGTGGCCCACAAGTCAGGACACATAGGGGTTGTTGTTGTTGTTGTGCAGGGTGGCCCAGAAGTCAGGACACATAGGGGTTGTTGTTGTTGTTGTGAAGGGTGGCCCACAAGTCAGGACACATAGGGGTTGTTGTTGTTGTTGTTGTGAAGGGTGGCCCAGAAGTCAGGACACATAGGGGTTGTTGTTGTTGTTGTGCAGGGTGGCCCAGAAGTCAGGACACATAGGGGTTGTTGTTGTTGTACAGGGTGGCCCAGAAGTCAGGACACATAGGGGTTGTTGTTGTACAGGGTGGCCCACAAGTCAGGACACATAGGGGTTGTTGTTGTACAGGGTGGCCCAGAAGTCAGGACACATAGGGGTTGTTGTTGTTGTTGTACAGGGTGGCCCACAAGTCAGGACACATAGGGGTTGTTGTTGTTGTTGTACAGGGTGGCCCAGAAGTCAGGACACATAGGGGTTGTTGTTGTTGTGAAGGGTGGCCCACAAGTCAGGAAACATAGGGGTTGTTGTTGTACAGGGTGGCCCACAAGTCAGGACACATAGGGGTTGTTGTTGTTGTTATACAGGGTGGTTGTTGTTAATGGTTGTTGTTAATGGTGGTTGTTGTTGTTGTGAATGGTTGTTGTTGTTGTGAATGGTTGTTGTTGTTGTGAATGGTTGTTGTTGTGAATGGTTGTTGTGAATGGTTGTTGTTGTTGTTGTTGTAAATGGTTGTTGTGAATGGTTGTTGTTGTTGTGGTTAATGGTGGTTGTTGTTGTTAATGGTAGTTGTGAATGGTTGTTGTTGTTGTTGTTAATGGTAGTTGTGAATGGTTGTTGTTGTTAATGGTTGTTGTGAATGGTTGTTGTTGTGGTGGTTGTTGTTGTGAATGGTGGTTGTTGTTGTGGTGGTTGTTGTTGTTGTGGTAAACGGTGGTTGTTGTTGCTGTTGTGGTGAACGGTGGTTGTTGTTGTGATGGTTGTTGTTGTTGTTGTGGTGAACGGTGGTTGTTGTTGCTGTTGTGGTGAACGGTGGTTGTTGTTGTGGTGGTTGTTGTTGTTGTGAATGGTGGTTGTTGTTGTGAATGGTTGTTGTTGTGGTTGTTGTTGTTGTGAATGGTGGTTGTTGGTGTGAATAATGGTTGTTGTAGTTTTAAATGGTTGTTGTTGTTGTAAATGGTTGTTGTTGTTGTGAATGGTTGTTGTGGTTGTTGTTGTGAATGGTGGTTGTTGTTGTGGTTGTTGTTGTTGTTGCTGTGAATGGTTGTTGTTGTTGTTGTGAATGGTTGTTGTTGTTGTTGTGAATGTTTATTGTTGTTGTGAATTGTTGTTGTGGTGGTTGCTCTTGTTGTTGTTAATGGTTGTTGTTGTGAATGGTGGTTGTTGTTGTTGTGGTGGTTGTTGTTGTTGTGGTTGTTGTTGTGAATGGTGGTTGTTGTGGTAAATGGTGGTTGTTGTTGTAAATGGTGGTTGTTGTTGTAAATGGTGGTTGGGGTGGTTGTTGTTGTGGTGGTTGTTGTTGTTGTGGTGGTTGTGGTGGTTGTTGTGAATGGTGGTTGTTGTTGTTGTTGTTGTGAATGGTGGTTGTTGTTGTTGTGGTTGTTGTTGTTGACCTCTCCAGCTGATGGATCTTCTCCAGGCTCTGACTCAGATGGAGCTTCGCCTCCTCCCGGCTGCCCTCCAGGGCGCGGAGTCGTGCGGTCGCCTCCTCCGCAGACGAGCGCATCTAGAAGACAAAGCTCCCCCAGGTAGCCTCTAACAGGAGAGTAGGGGCAAGTGCAGTGTCTAACACACACAGACAAAGCTCCCCCAGGTAGCCTCTAGCAGGGCTGCAGGGGCAAGTGCAGTGTCTCACACACACAGACAAAGCATCCCCAGGTAGCCTCTAGCAGGGCTGTAGGGGCAAGTGCTGAGACACAGACAAAGATCCCCCAGGTAGCCTCTAGCAGGGCAGTAGGGGCAAGTGCAGTGTCTCACACACAAAGACAAAGCTCCCCCAGGTAGCCTCTAGCAGGGATGTAGGGGCAAGTGCTGAGACACAGACAAAGCTCCCCCAGGTAGCCTCTAGCAGGGCAGTAGGGACAAGTGCTGAGACAGAGACAAAGCTCCCCCAGGTAGCCTCTAGCAGGGCAGTAAGGGCAAGTGCTGAGACACAGACAAAGCTCCCCCAGGTAGCCTCTAGCAGGGCTGCAGGGGCAAGTGCAGTGTCTCACACACACAGACAAAGCTCCCCCAGGTAGCCTCTAGCAGGGCTGTAGGGGCAAGTGCTGAGACACAGACACAGCTCCCCCAGGTAGCCTGTAGCAGGGCAGTAGGGGCAAGTGCTGAGACAGAGACAAAGCTCCCCCAGGTAGCCTCTAGCAGGGCAGTAAGGGCAAGTGCTGAGACACAGACAAAGCTCCCCCAGGTAGCCTCTAGCAGGGCTGCAGGGGCAAGTGCAGTGTCTCACACACACAGACAAAGCTCCCCCAGGTAGCCTCTAGCACGGCAGTAGGGGCAAGTGCTGAGACACAGACAAAGCTCCCCCAGGTAGCCTGTAGCAGGGCAGTAGGGGCAAGTGCTGAGACACAGACAAATCTCCCCCAGGTAGCGTCTAGCAGGGCTGCAGGGGCAAGTGCAGTGTCTCACACACACAGACAAAGCTCCCCCAGGTAGCCTCTAGCAGGGCAGTAGGGGCAAGTGCTGAGACACAGACAAATCTCCCCCAGGTAGCGTCTAGCAGGGCTGTAGGGGCAAGTGCTGAGACACAGACAAAGCTCCCCCAGGTAGCCTCTAGCAGGGCAGTAGGGGCAAGTGCTGAGACACAGACAAAGCTCCCCCCGGTAGCCTCTAGCAGGGCTGTAGAGGCAAGTGCTGAGACACAGACAAAGCTCCCCGAGGTAGCCTCTAGCAGGGCAGTAGGGGCAAGTGCTGAAACACAGACAAAGCTCCCCCAGGTAGCCTCTAGCAGGGCAGTAGGGGCAAGTGCTGAGACACAGACAAAGCTCCCCCATGTAGCCTCTAGCAAGGCTGCAGGGGCAAGTGCAGTGTCTCACACACACAGACAAAGCTCCCCCAGGTAGCCTCTAGCAGGGCAGTAGGGGCAAGTGCTGAGACACAGACAAAGCTCCCCCAGGTAGCCTCTAACAGGGCTGTAGGGGCAAGTGCTGAGACACAGACAAAGCTCCCTCAGGTAGCCTCTAGCAGGGCAGTAGGGGCAAGTGCTGAGACACAGACAAAGCTCCCCCAGGTAGCCTCTAGCAGGGCTGTAGAGGCAAGTGCTGAGACACAGACAAAGCTCCCCCAGGTAGCCTCTAGCAGGGCAGTAGGGGCAAGTGCTGAGACACAGACAAAGCTCCCCCAGGTAGCCTCTAGCAGGGCTGTAGGGGCAAGTGCTGAGACACAGACAAAGCTCCCCCAGGTAGCCTCTAGCAGGGCAGTAGGGGCAAGTGCTGAGACACAGACAAAGCTCCCCCAGGTAGCGTCTAGCAGGGCTGCAGGGGCAAGTGCAGTGTCTCACACAAACAGACAAAGCTCCCCCAGGTAGCCTCTAGCAGGGCTGTAGGGGCAAGTGCTGAGACACAGACAAAGCTCCCACAGGTAGCCTCTAGCAGGGCAATAGGGGCAAGTGCTGAGACACAGACAAAGCTCCCCCAGGTAGCCTCTAGCAGGGCAGTAGGGGCAAGTGCTGAGACACAGACAAAGCTGCCCCAGGTAGCCTCTAGCAGGGCTGTAGAGGCAAGTGCTGAGAAACAGACAAAGCTCCCCCAGGTAGCCTCTAGCAGGGCAGTAGGGGCAAGTGCTGAGACACAGACAAAGCTCCCCCAGGTAGCCTCTAGTAGGGCTGTAGAGGCAAGTGCTGAGACACAGACAAAGCTCCCACAGGTAGCCTCTAGCAGGGCAGTAGGGGCAAGTGCTGAGACACAGACAAAGCTCCCCCAGGTAGCCTCTAGCAGGGCTGTAGGGGCAAGTGCTGAGACACAGACAAAGCTCCCCCAGGTAGCCTCTAGCAGGGCTGTAGGGGCAAGTGCTGAGACACAGACAAAGCTCCCACAGGTAGCCTCTAGCAGGGCAGTAGGGGCAAGTGCTGAGACACAGACAAAGCTACCCCAGGTAGCCTCTAGCAGGGCAGTAGGGGCAAGTGCTGAGACACAGACAAAGCTGCCCCAGGTAGCCTCTAGCAGGGCAGTAGGGGCAAGTGCTGAGACACAGACAAAGCTCCCCCAGGTAGCCTCTAGTAGGGCTGTAGGGGCAAGTGCAGTGTCTCACACACACAGACAATGCTCCCCCAGGTAGCCTCTAGCAGGGCTGCAGGGGCAAGTGCAGTATCTCACACACAGACAAAACTCCCCCAGGTAGCCTCTAGCAGGGCTGCAGGGGCAAGTGCAGTGTCTCACACACACAGACAAAGCTCCCCCAGGTAGGCGCTAGCAGGGCTGCATGGGCAAGTGCAGTGTCTCACACACACAGACAAAGCTCCCCCAGGTATCCTCTAGCAGGGCTGTAGGGGCAAGTGCAGTGTTAGACACACACAGACAAAGCTCCCCCAGGTAGCCTCTAGCAGGGCTGTAGGGGCAAGTGCAGTGTCTCACACACAGACAAAGCTCCCCCAGGTAGCCTCTAGCAGGGCTGTAGGGGCAAGTGCAATGTATCACACACATAAACAAAGCTCCACCAGGTAGCCTCTATCAGGGCTGTAGGGGCAAGTGCTGTGTTAGACACAGACAAAGCTCCCCCAGGTAGCCTCTAGCAGGGCTGTAGGGGCAAGTGCTGCTAGTAGCGAGTAGCACCACCTATGATGTACACACAGACAAAGCTCCCCCAAGTAGCCTCTAGCAGGGCTGTAGGGGCAAGTGCTGCTAGTAGTGAGTCGCAGCAGCAGCGCCTATGATGTACACACAGACAAAGTTCCCCAGGTAGCCTCCACCAGGGCTGTAGGGGCAAGTGCTGCTAGTAGGGAGTAGCAGCACCTATGATGTACACACAGACAAAGCTCCCCCAGGTAGCCTCTATTGCTGCTAGAGGCTACACAAAGACAAAGATCGCCTGTGTAGCCTTAACAGACTGTAGGGGCAAGTGCTGTTAGCGAGCACCTATGAAGGCTGGAACGGTACACGAGGGGGTGGGTGGCCAGCACCACGCCCGACCGCCTTTGTCTCCCTAGTGGCGATGTTTACACACCGCACCAGGTACTCATTTGAGGCTGAGTGGACCTAGGGGAGGCCCGGGACTGGTTCAGATAATCGTCACTGGTGCTGGCCGTGAGCGGGAATCGAACCCGGGTCGCCAGGTTCATAGCGCAGCGTAGCGCTAACCGCTACACTACCGCTCCCCACACACACCTACACACACACACACCTACACACACACACCTACACACACACACCCACCCACACACCTACACACACACACACACCTACACACACCTACACACACACCCACACACACACACCCACACACACACACCCACACACACACCCACACACACCCACACGCACACACCTACACACACACACCTACACAACAACAACAACAACCGCCATTCGCCACTAAGTGGCGGTGACGTCACCACGACGTTTGTGCCAGGCTATGTGCACCGTGAGGCCACGTGAAGTGTCGAACGCCCGCTGGCAGGAGGTCACTGGGCAGACCCAGGTGCCACGGGTCGACTGACTGAGATGACTGGCTGATGCACCACCTGTGCCCCCTACTGTGCCCACCTGCTGTGCTTTAGCCACCCGGCGTTCCGCTCGTTGTTGTGAGCGTCGCTCCTCCGCCCTCCGTTGTTGTTGGAGGGCGACTGCCTCCAACTGCCCAGTAGCATCCTTCACGAGCCTCCTCCACAGAGGCCGATCTTGACACCGCTGGTACCAGTCATCGGCAAGTCCACTCAGCTCCACGTCCTCCTGTACCACATCACTCCATCTCTTCTCTAGCCCGTGCCGCGCCCGCTTAGCCCCCTCAATCCGGCCAAACAAAAGCTGTTTCGGCATGCGGTGGCTGGGCATGCGGGCTACATGACCCAGCCATCGCAGCCTTGCCTGCCGGAGAAGCTCACCGATGGGACCCTGCCCAGATCTTTCAAGGATTTGTGAGCTCCTCACACAATCCAGTCTGGTTAAACCCAGGATGGATCGTAGGCAGGCCAGCCTAAATGTTTCTAACCGGCGAAGATGTTCCACCAGGGGGGTCCACGTTTCGCAAGCGTAGAGAAGGGAGGGAATGACCGTGGCCGAGAAGACCTGAAGCTTAGTGCGGAGCGACAGACCAGGTAGCTTCCACACAGCGTTACGCAACCGATGAAAAGATATTGCCGCTCGACTGATTCGGAGTGAGACCTCTGCTGTTAAACTGGAGCCAGTCATGAGCACACTGCCCAGGTATGGGAAACTCTCCACTCTCTCCACAACTGCCCCATCACCGATTGGGAGTTGTGGGGGTGGAGTGTCCGATGGTACAAAATACCCAGGCAGGTGCTTAGTTTTGGTGGGGCTGATGGTAAGGCCCCACCTCTTAGTGGCACGCTCCTGTCTCAGCAGCAGCGTCTCCAACTCCTCCTCTGACTGAGCAGCTATTACCAAATCATCAGCATACATAACGTGGTTGAGTAATAGGGAGCCATCCCTTGACCGCACCCGGGCATCGATTAGCCTCCCATTATATCTGTACCATATGGAGATTCCCCCGGTACAGCTATTGAAGGCTTCACGAACTACGTGGTCAAAATAGATGTTAAATAATGTGGGAGCCAGAGGACATCCCTGTCGCACCCCAAGGTGTACAGGGAATGGCTCTGACTCCCGGCCACGTAGTTTTACCCGGGCCCGCTCACCATCATGAAGGTCCTTAATGATCGTGAGCAGAGGGTCAGGTACTCCAAAAGCACGAAGAACGACCCAGAGCCCAGGCCTACTGATGGTATCATAGGCCTTGACCAAGTCAATAAAGCAGAGATGTAGGTCTTGTTGGAATTCCCTACACCTCTGCTGTAGCAGACGGACAGAAAATATGGCATCTGTGCAGGACCGCCCTTTCCGGAAACCGCAGTGGGGCTCCGCAAGCCTCTCCTCAGCGTGCCTGGCAAGGCGATGCTGAATAATCCTTGCCAGGACCTTTCCCGGCACACTGAGGAGTGAGATGCCCCTGTAGTTATTACAGTCTGTGCGGTCCCCCTTCTTAAAAAGGGGGACCACCAGGGCATCCTTCCAATCCTGCGGAACCCGTCCAGTGGTCCATACTGTTGTTATGATGTCATATAGGGCAGTCTGTGCACAAACGCCACCCTCCCTCAGCATTTCGCTTGGGAGATCATCTCTGCCCGCTGCCTTTCCTGGTCTCAGACTCCGGATCGCCTTCATTACTTCCTCAGCAGATGGAACCTCAGCCAGCAACTCACAGGGGGTGACTTCATCCAATATTTGAGGCACCGCAGCCTCAGCAGGGTCATCCTCACTTTGTGCCACGATGTTTTCCTGGCTGAGGGATTTTCCCTCCCCCAGGACCTCACAGAAATGCTCAGCAAATCTGCGAACCTGTTCCTGGGGGTCGGAAATTGGATCACCGTTTTTTCCCCTAATGATGGTAATAGGTGTGGCGCTGCAGGTTACTTTTTTGATGGAGTTAAATAGAGATTTGTGATCACGGGCCACTGAGGCAGACTCAATCTCCTCAGCAACCCGCGACCACCACCCATCCTTGCAGCGCCTCACGGCTCTCCGAACCTCCGAGCGAAGGCTGCGGTAAGCCTCCTCATTCTCTGACGTGGGATTCTGTAGCCGATGACAGTGGGCCTGTCGCTTTTTCTCAACCATCCTGAACAACTCCTCTGTCAGCCAGGGTGTCTGGGGAGGTCTGGACCGCGTACCCAAAGCAGCCATTGCAGCTGCATGAGTCACAGTCCTAAACCTCGCCCATTTACCCTCGACATCAGGAGGAGTCGGGGACGATGCCAATCCCAGCCGCAAGCGATGATGAAATTCTCGCTTGCAACTTTCATCAGATAACTGAGACCAGGCCACTTTAGGTTGGAATGGGGTCCTGGGTGTACACCCACCACCGGAGTGGAAGAATGGCAGGCGCATCTTACAGATGACTAGTCGATGGTCAGAGGGCAGATCAGCTCCACGGTAGGTCCTGGTGTCAAGGACATGGGCTCGCATTCGCTGGTCCGTCACTATGTAGTCCAGCAGATGTTCTTGCTTGGACCCGGCATGCATCCATGATGTTGTGTGGATGCGCCGATGCCGGAACAGCGTGTTGGTAATTACAAGCCCATGGGCTGCACAAAAATCTAGCAGCCTCCTACCGTTGTTATTGAGCTGATCTGGCCCATGCCCTCCAATCACTCCAGACCAGGTGCCAGTATCATGACCAACTCGGGCATTGAAGTCACCCAACATGATGACTCTATCCCGAGGGGCCACTTTAGCCAGCACCTGTGACAGGAGGTCATAGAAGGCATCTGACTCATCGGCTTTGCCTGCATCCCTCCACGGATGTTCATCTTCGGTGGGGGCATAAGTAACCACGACCACCATTCCTCGCCTCCGGTTGATGGGAAGGCGAGCCCAAAGTAGCCTGGGGCTTACAGCTTCCCACACCTCACCGCCACGCTCCCACGCCCCCTTCATTCTTTTGTTCAAAAGAAGAGCCACACCCTGTTGTTTGGCAGTCTGCTGCCCCGAGTAGAGGACTGTCCACCCCTCATGGTGGCAGGAGCCAGAGCCGGTCCACCGGACCTCCTGAATGCCGCATAGATCCAGGCGGTACCGGTCCAGCTCCCGACAGAGGAGTGGCAGCCTCTCCTCTGCAGTGAGCGTTCGAACATTCCACGTGGCCACCCGTAGTGGCTTTTCGTTGTTTCTGGAGTAGCCCCGAGGGTAGGTATTCAATCTCCTGGCTCCGCCAATTGGGGTTTGGCCAGGAGACGTCATAGACGCCTGGCCCCCCGGGGCCTCCGGCACAAGCTTAGTTGTTACATATTTCAGTTTAATTCGTGGTTTCGTGGTAATTAATTGAAGGTGAAGGGGTTACCAGCCCCTCGCACCCGTCCAGAGCCCCCGTTTAGCCCCTGTGGTGGACACATATGCCATGAGGGGAGGAGCCAATCAAAATTGGATCTCCCCCCACAGCGCTGTCCACGACAGAGTTGCCCGTCCGGCACCGCGAGGAGGTAGGGGGTTGTTTTGCCGCACACACACACACCTACACACACACACCTACACACACACCTACACACACACCTACACACACCTAAACACACACACCTACACACACACACCTACACACACCTACAACAACAACAACCGCCATTCGCCACTAAGTGGTGGTGACGTCACCACGGCGCTTGTGCCAGGCTATGTGCACCCTGAGGCCACGTGAAGTGTCGAACACCCGTTGGCAGGAGGTCACGGGCAGACCCAGGTGCCACGGGTCGGCTAACTGAGATGACTGGCTGATGCACCACCTGTGCCCCCTACTGTGCCAACCTGCTGTGCTTTAGCCACCCGGCGCTCCGCTCGTTGTTGTGAGCGTCGCTCCTCCGCCCTCCGTTGTTGTTGGAGGGCGACTGCCTCCAACTGCCCAGTAGCGTCCTTCACGAGCCTCCTCCACAGAGGCCGATCTTGACACCGCTGGTACCAGTCATCGGCAAGTCCACTCAGCTCCACGTCCTCCTGTACCACATCACTCCATCTCTTCTCTAGCCCGTGCCGCGCCCGCTTAGCTCCCTCAATCCGGCCGAACAAAAGCTGTTTCGGCATGCGGTGGCTGGGCATGCGGGCTAAATGACCCAGCCATCGCAGCCTTGCCTGCCGGAGGAGCTCACCGATGGGACCTTGCCCAGATCTTTCAAGGATTTGTGAGCTCTTCACACAATCCAGTCTGGTTAAACCCAGGATGGATCGTAGGCAGGCCAGCCTAAATGTTTCTAACCTACACACACCCACACAAACACACCTACACACACACACCTACACACACACACCTACACACACACCTACACACCTACACACACACACACTACACACACACCTACACACACACCTACACACACACACACACACACCTACACACACCTACACACACACCTACACACACACACTACCCACACACACCTACACACACACACCTACACACACACCTACACACACCTACATACACCTACACACACACCTACACACACCTACACACACACACTACACACACCTACACACACCACCCACCTGCTGACTGAGTTCGAGGTTCCTCTGCTCTAGCTGGAGCTGGTCTCTCCTCCTACACACACACCTACACACACACTACACACACACCTACACACACTACACACACCTACACACACACCTACACACACACCTACACACACACCTACACACACCTACACACACAAACACCTACACACACACCTACACACACACCTACACACCACCCACCTGCTGGCTGAGTTCGAGGTTCCTCTGCTCTAGCTGGAGCTGGTCTCTCCTCCTACACACACACCTACACACACACCTACACACACACTACACACACCTACACACACACCTACACACACACACCTACACACACACACCTACACACACACCTAAACACACTACACACACCTACACACACACCTACACACACACTACACACACCTACACACACACCTACACACACTACACACACACCTACACACCACCCACCTGCTGGCTGAGTTCGAGGTTTCTCTGCTCTAGCTGGAGCTGGTCTCTCCTCCCGTGGGCCAACTCAGAGCGAAGGCGCCCGACCTGCAGGGCAAGGGCTGCGTCACACGCGGGGCACGTGCTGCGTCACACGTGATGAGTCACACGTGATGCGTCACACGTGATGAGTCACACGTGATGCGTCACACGTGATGAGTCACACGCGGGGCACGTGCTCCACCTCCTCCTCCACCTCCTCCACCACCTCCACCTCCACCTTCTCCTCCACCTCCTCCTCCACCTCCTCCTCCACCTCCTCCTCCTCCACCTCCTCCTCCACCTCCACCACCTCCTCCTCCACCTCTTCCTCCACCTCCTCCACCTCCTCCTCCACCTCCTCCACCTCCTCCACCTCCTCCTCCACCTCTTCTCTCACCTGTGCCCGGAGCTCCTCCACCATCTCAGTCATCTCCGCTCCACACTCACGCTCCTCACTCAGCTCCTCCTCCAGCGTGGTAGTCTCCTCCTGGGGCAACATCAACATCATCACCATCAACATCACCATCAACATCACCATCAACATCATCATCAACATCATCATCACCATCATCATCACCATCAACATCATCATCAACATCATCATCAACATCATCATCACCATCATCATCACCATCAACATCACCATCAACATCACCATCACCATCAACATCACCATCAACATCATCATCAACATCATCATCACCATCATCATCACCATCAACATCATCATCACCATCATCTTCACCATCAACATCACCATCAACATCATCATCATCAACATCATCATCACCATCAACATCACCATCAACATCATCATCACCATCAACATCATCATCACCATCAACATCATCATCAACATCACCATCAACATCATCATCACCATCATCATCACCATCAACATCACCATCAACATCATCATCATCATCATCAACATCATCATCACCATCATCATCACCATCATCATCACCATCATCATCAACATCATCATCACCATCAACATCATCATCACCATCAACATCATCATCAACATCACCATCAACATCATCATCACCATCATCATCACCATCAACATCACCATCAACATCATCATCATCATCAACATCATCATCACCATCATCATCACCATCATCATCACCATCATCATCAACATCATCATCACCATCAACATCATCATCAACATCATCATCACCATCATCATCACCATCAACATCATCATCACCATCATCTTCACCATCAACATCACCATCAACATCATCATCATCAACATCATCATCACCATCAACATCACCATCAACATCATCATCACCATCAACATCATCATCACCATCAACATCATCATCAACATCACCATCAACATCATCATCACCATCATCATCACCATCAACATCACCATCAACATCCACATCATCATCAACATCATCATCACCATCATCATCACCATCATCATCACCATCATCATCAACATCATCATCACCATCAACATCATCATCAACATCATCATCACCATCATCATCACCATCATTATCAACATCATCATCACCATCATCATCACCATCAACATCATCATCAACATCATCACCATCACCACCATCAACATCAACATCACCATCAAAATCATCATCAACATCATCATCAACATCATCATCACCACCATCAACATCAACATCATTACCATCAACATCACCATCAACATCATCATCAACATCATCATCACCATCATCATCACCATCATCATCACCATCAACACCATCATCATCATCAACATAATCATCATCACCATCAACATCACCATCAACATCATCATCACCATGATCACCATCATCAATATCATCATCACCATCATCACCATCATCAACATCACCATCAACATCATCATCAACACCATCACCATCATCATCACCATCATCATCACCATCACCACCATCAACATCACCATCAACATCATCATCAACATCATCATCACCATCATCATCACCATCATCACCATCATCATCAACATCATCATCACCATCATCATCACCATCAACATCATCATCAACATCATCATCATCATCAACATCACCATCACCATCACCACCATCAACATCAACATCACCATCAAAATCATCATCAACATCATCATCACCACCATCAACATCAACATCATCACCATCAACATCACCATCAACATCATCATCAACATCACCATCATCATCACCATCAACACCATCACCATCAACATCATCATCATCATCATCACCATCAACATCATCATCATCAACATCATCATCAACATCACCATCATCACCATCATCATCACCATCAACACCATCACCATCAACATCATCATCATCACCATCAACATCATCATCATCAACATCATCATCATCACCATCAACATCACCATCAACATCATCATCACCATCATCACCATCATCAACATCATCATCACCATCATCACCATCATCAACATCACCATCAACATCATCATCAACACCATCACCATCATCATCACCATCACCACCATCAACATCACCATCATCAACATCATCATCACCATCATCATCACCATCATCATCATCACCATCAACATCACAATCACCATCATCACCATCATCAACATCACCATCAACATCATCATCAACACCATCATCATCACCATCATCATCACCATCAACACCATCACCATCAACATCATCATCATCACCATCACCACCATCATCATCACCATCAACACCATAACCATCAACATCACCATCACCATCATCACCACCAACACCATCAACATATCACCACCATCATCATAACCATCATCACCATCAACACCATCAACATATCACCATCATCACCATCAACACCATCACCATCAACATCACCAACATCATCATCAACACCATCAACATACCACCATCATCAACATCATCATCATCACCATCAACACCATCAACATATCACCATCATCACCATCAACACCATCACCATCAACATCACCAACATCATCAACATCATCACCATCATCATCAGTGTAGTAGGTAGTATAGCAGTTAGTGTAGCAGGTAGTGTAGTGTAGTGTGTAGTGTAGTGTACTGTGTAGTGTAGTGTGTAGTGTACTGTGTAGTGTAGTGTGCAGTGTAGTAGGTAGTGTAGTGTGTATTGTAGTAGTGTAGTAGTGTAGTGTAGTGTGTAGTGTAACAGGTAGTGTAGTATGTAGTGTAACAGGTAGTGTAGTATGTAGTGTAACAGGTAGTGTAGTATGTAGTGTAACAGGTAGTGTAGTATGTAGTGTAACCGGTAGTGTAACAGGTAGTGTAGTGTGTAGTGTAACAGGTAGTGTAACAGGTAGTGTATAGTGTAGTGTAACAGGTAGTATAGTATGTAATGTATAGTGTAGTGTATAGTGTAGTGTAACAGGTAGTGTAACAGGTAGTGTAACAGGTAGTGTAGTGTGTAGTGTAGTGTGTAGTGTAACAGGTAGTGTAGTGTGTAGTGTAACAGGTAGTGTAGTATAACAGGTAGTGTAGTGTAACAGGTAGTGTAGTGTAACAGGTAGTGTAACGTGGTGCTTCACCTGGAGTCTGTGTGCCTAGTGTATAGTGTAGTGTATAGTGTAGTGTAACAGGTAGTGTAACAGGCAGTGTAACAGGTAGTGTAGTGTAACAGGTAGTGTAACAGGTAGTGTAATGTGGCGCTTCTCCTGGAGTCTGTGTGCCTAGTGTAACAGGTAGTGTAGTATGTAGTGTATAGTGTAGTGTGTAGTGTATAGTGTAGTGTAACAGGTAGTGTAACAGGTAGTGTAGCATGTAGTGTAACAGGTAGTGTAGTGTAACAGGTAGTGTAACGTGGCGCTTCACCTGGAGTCTGTGTGCCTAGTGTATAGTGTAGTGTATAGTGTAGTGTATAGTGTAGTGTAACAGGTAGTGTAGTGTAACAGGTAGTGTAACAGATAGTGTAGTGTAGCAGGTAGTGTAGTGTAACAGGTAGTGTAACAGGTAGTGTATAGTGTAGTGTATAGTGTAGTGTAACAGGTAGTGTAACGTGGCGCTTCACCTGGAGTCTGTGTGCCTAGTGTATAGTGTAGTGTATAGTGTAGTGTGTAGTGTAGTGTAACAGGTAGTGTAACAGGTAGTGTAGTGTATAGTGTAACAGGTAGTGTAGTGTAACAGGTAGTGTAACGTGGCGCTTCACCTGCAGTCTGTGTGCCTAGTGTGTAGTGTAGTGTATAGTGTAGTGTATAGTGTAGTGTATAGTGTAACAGGTAGTGTAGTATGTAGTGTATAGTGTAGTGTATAATGTAGTGTAGTGTGTAGTGGAGTATGTAGTGTAACGTGGTGCTTCACCTGCAGTCTGTGTGCCTAGTGTATAGTGTAGTGTAGTATGTAGTGTATAGTATGTAGTGTAACAGGTAGTGTATAGTGTAGTGTATAGTATAGTGTAGTGTGTAGTGTAACAGGTAGTATGTAATGTATAGTGTAGTGTATAGTGTAGTGTAACGTGGTGCTTCACCTGGAGTCTGTGTGCCTAGTGTAACAGGTAGTGTATAGTGTAGTGTGTAGTGTATAGTGTAGTGTAACAGGTAGTGCAGTATGTAGTGTATAGTGTAGTGTAACAGGTAGTGTAGTATGTAGTGTATAGTGTAGTGTATAGTGTAGTGTAAGAGGTAGTGTATAGTGTAATGTAGTGTATAGTGTAGTGTATAGTGTAGTGTATAGTATGTAGTGTTACAGGTAGTGTAGTATGTAGTGTATAGTATGTAGTCTATAGTGTAGTGTAGTGTATAGTGTAGTGTGTAGTGTAGTGTGTAGTGTAACAGGTAGTGTATAGTGTAGTGTAACGTGGTGCTTCACCTGCAGTCTGTGTGCCTAGTGTATAGTGTAATAGGTAGTGTATAATGTAGTGTATAGTGTAGTGTATAATATGTAGTGTAGTGTATAGTGTAGTGTAACGTGGCGCTTCACCTGCAGTCTGTGTGCCTAGTGTATAGTGTAGTGTAGTGTATAGTGTAGTGTATAGTGTAGTATGTAGTGTAACAGGTAGTGTATAGTGTAGTGTGTAGTGTAACAGGTAGTGTAGTATGTAGTGTATAGTGTAGTGTGTAGTGTACTGTAACAGGTAGTGTATAGTGTAGTGTGTAGTGTAACAGGTAGTGTAGTATGTAGTGTAACGTGGCGCTTCATCTGCAGTCTGTGTGCCTAGTGTATAGTGTATAGTAGTGTAGTATGTAGTGTATAGTGTGTAGTGTAACAGGTAGTATAGTGTATAGTGTAGTGTGTAGTGTATAGTGTAGTGTATAGTGAAGTGTATAGTGTAGTGTAACAGGTAGTGTAACGTGGTGCTTCACCTGCAGTCTGTGTGCCTAGTGTATAGTGTAGTGTAGTGTATAGTGTAATGTATAGTGTAGTATGTAGTGTAACAGGTAGTGTAGTATGTAGTGTAGTGTATAGTGTAGTGTATAGTGTAGTATGTAGTGTAACACGTACTGTAGTGTGTAGTGTATAGTGTATAGTGTAGTGTATAGTGTAGTGTGTAGTGTAGTGTAACGTGGTGCTTCACCTGGAGTCTGTGAGCCTAGTGTAAAGTGTAGTGTGTAGTGTAGTGTATAGTGTAGTGTAGTGTATAGTGTAGTGTAACAGGTAGTGTAGTATGTAGTGTAACGTGGTGCTTCACCTGCAGTCTGTGTGCCTAGTGTATAGTGTAGTGTATAGTGTAGTGTATAGTGTAGTGTATAGTGTAGTGTATAGTGTAGTGTATAGTGTAGTGTAGTGTGTAGTGTAACAGGTAGTATGTAATGTATAGTGTAGTGTATAGTGTAGTGTAACGTGGTGCTTCACCTGGAGTCTGTGTGCCTAGTGTAACAGGTAGTGTATAGTGTAGTGTGTAGTGTATAGTGTAGTGTAACAGGTAGTGCAGTATGTAGTGTCTAGTGTATAGTGTAGTGTATAGTGTAGTGTATAGTGTAGTGTATAGTGTAGTGTATAGTGTAGTGTAACAGGTAGTGTAGTGTATAGTGTAGTGTGTAGTGTATAGTGTAGTGTAACAGGTAGTGCAGTATGTAGTGTATAGTGTAGTGTAACAGGTAGTGTAGTGTATAGTGTATAGTATGTAGTGTAACAGGTAGTATAACGTGGCGCTTCACCTGCAGTCTGTGTGCCAGCCTCTGCGCCTCGCTGCGGCTGCCCTCCAGGGCCTTAGAGGCGTCGCTCAGCTCGTGACGAAGCTCCTCACACTGAGACTCAACGTCCTGCAGCTCCTCACGCACATCGCTCACCTGGTGGGGGGGGAGTGGTGGGGGGGGGATTGGTGGGGGGGGAGTGGTGGGGGGAGTGGTGGAGGGGAGTGGTGGGGGGGGAGTGGTGGGGGGAGTGGTGGAGGGGAGGAGTGGTGGGGTGGTGATGGGAGTGGTGGGGGGGAGAGGTGGGGGGAGTGATGGGGTGGTGGGGGGAGAGGTGGAGGGGAGTGGTGTGGGGAGTGGTGGGGGGGATTGGTGGGGGGGGAGAGTGGTGGGGGGAGTGGTGGGCGGAGTGGTGGGGGTGGTGGACGGAGTAATGGGGGGGGGATTGGTGGGGGGGGAGTGGTGGGGGGGAGTGGTGGGGGTAATGGTGGGGGGGGGGAGATGTTGACTACCTCGCCTGGCCTACAGGAGGCCGTGGGTTCTGTCCCGGCAATGACGACGCCTGCTGCTGATGACTCTCTCTTTCAGGTGTGTAGGTGTGTAGGTGTGTGTAGGTGTGTGTGTAGTTGTGTAGGTGTGTTGTTGTGTAGTTGTGTAGGTGTGTGTGTAGTTGTGTAGTTGTGTAGGTGTGTGTGTGTGTGTAGGTGTGTGTGTAGGTGTGTAGGTGTGTGTGTAGGTGTGTAGGTGTGTAGGTGTGTGTGTAGGTGTGTAGGTGTGTGTGTAGGTGTGTAGGTGTGTAGGTGTGTGTGTAGGTGTGTAGGTGGGTAGGTGTGTGTGTAGGTGTGTGTAGGTGTGTGTGTAGGTGTGTGTGTGTAGGTGTGTGTGTGTGTGTGTAGGTGTGTGTAGGTGTGTGTAGGTGTGTGTGTAGGTGTAGGTGTGTGTGTAGGTGTGTTTGTAGGTGTGTAGGTGTGTGTGTGTAGGTGTGTGTGTAGGTGACCTCCTGTCACAGGTGCTGGCTAAAGTGGCCCCTCGGGATAGAGTCATCATGTTGGGTGACTTCAATGCCCGAGTTGGTCATGATACTGGCACCTGGTCTGAAGTGATTGGAGGGCATGGGCCAGATCAGCTCAATAACAACGGTAGGAGGCTGCTAGATTTTTGTGCAGCCCATGGGCTTGTAATTACCAACACGCTGTTCCGGCATCGGCGCATCCACACAACATCATGGATGCATGCCGGGTCCAAGCAAGAACATCTGCTGGACTACATAGTGACGGACCAGCGAATGCGAGCCCATGTCCTTGACACCAGGACCTACCGTGGAGCTGATCTGCACTCTGACCATCGACTAGTCATCTGTAAGATGCGCCTGCCATTCTTCCACTCCGGTGGTGGGTGTACACCCAGGACCCCATTCCAACCTAAAGTGGCCTGGTCTCAGTTATCTGATGAAAGTTGCAAGCGAGAATTTCATCATCGCTTGCGGCTGGGATTGGCATCGTCCCCGACTCCTCCTGATGTCGAGGGTAAATGGGCGAGGTTTAGGACTGTGACTCATGCAGCTGCAATGGCTGCTTTGGGTACGCGGTCCAGACCTCCCCAGACACCCGGGCTGACAGAGGAGGTGTTCAGGATGGTTGAGAAAAAGCGACAGGCCCACTGTCATCGGCTACAGAATCCCACGTCAGAGAATGAGGAGGCTTACCGCAGCCTTCGCTCGGAGGTTCGGAGAGCCGTGAGGCACTGCAAGGATGGGTGGTGGTCGCGGGTTGCTGAGGAGATGGAGTCTGCCTCAGTGGCCCGTGATCACAAATCTCTATTTAACTCCATCAAAAAAGTAACCTGCAGCGCCACACCTATTACCATCATTAGGGGAAAAAACGGTGATCCAATTTCCGACCCCCAGGAACAGGTTCGCAGATTTGCTGAACATTTCTGTGAGGTCCTGGGGGAGGGAAAATCCCTCAGCCAGGAAAACATCGTGGCACAAAGTGAGGATGACCCTGCTGAGGCTGCGGTGCCTCAAATATTGGATGAAGTCACCCCCTGTGAGTGGCTGGCTGAGGTGCCATCTGCTGAGGAAGTATTGAAGGCGATCCGGAGTCTGAGACCAGGAAAGGCAGCGGGCAGAGATGATCTCCCAAGCGAAATGCTGAGGGAGGGTGGCGTTTGTGCACAGACTGCCCTATATGACATCATAACAACAGTCTGGACCACTGGACGGGTTCCGCAGGATTGGAAGGATGCCCTGGTGGTCCCCCTTTTTAAGAAGGGGGACCGCACAGACTGTAACAACTACAGGGGCATCTCACTCCTCAGTGTGCCGGGAAAGGTCCTGGCAAGGATTATTCAGCATCGCCTTGCCAGGCACGCTGAGGAGAGGCTTGCGGAGCCCCAATGCGGTTTCAGCAAAGGGCGGTCCTGCACAGATGCCATATTTTCTGTCCGTCTGCTACAGCAGAGGTGTAGGGAATTCCAACAAGACCTACATCTCTGCTTTATTGACCTGGTCAAGGCCTATGATACCATCAGTAGGCCTGGGCTCTGGGTCGTTCTTCGTGCTTTTGGAGTACCTGACCCTCTGCTCACGATCATTAAGGACCTTCATGATGGTGAGCGGGCCCGGGTAAAACTACGTGGCCGGGAGTCAGAGCCATTCTCTGTACACCTTGGGGTGCGACAGGGATGTCCTCTGGCTCCCACATTATTTAACATCTATTTTGACCACGTAGTTCGTGAAGCATTCAATAGCTGTACCGGGGGAATCTCCATATGGTACAGATATAATGGGAGGCTAATCGATGCCCGGGTGCGGTCAAGGGATGGCTCCCTATTGCTCAACCACGTTATGTATGCTGATGATTTGGTAATAGCTGCTCAGTCAGAGGAGGAGTTGGAGACGCTGCTGCTGAGACTGGAGCGTGCCACTAAGAGGTGGGGCCTTACCATCAGCCCCACCAAAACTAAGCACCTGCCTGGGTATTTTGTACCATCGGACACTCCACCCCCACAACTCCCAATCGGTGATGGGGCAGTTGTGGAGAGAGTGGAGAGTTTCCCATACCTGGGCAGTGTGCTTATGACTGGCTCCAGTTTAACAGCAGAGGTCTCACTCCGAATCAGTCGAGCGGCAATATCTTTTCATCGGTTGAGTAACGCTGTGTGGAAGCTACCTGGTCTGTCGCTCCGCACTAAGCTTCAGGTCTTCTCGGCCACGGTCATTCCCTCCCTTCTCTACGCTTGCGAAACGTGGACCCCCCTAATGGAACATCTTCGCCGGTTAGAAACATTTAGGCTGGCCTGCCTACGATCCATCCTGGGTTTAACCAGACTGGATTGTGTGAGGAGCTCACAAATCCTTGAAAGATCAGGGCAGGGTCCCATCGGTGAGCTCCTCCGGCAGGCAAGGCTGTGATGGCTGAGTCATGTAGCCCGCATGCCCAGCCACCACATGCCGAAACAGCTTTTGTTTGGCCGGATTGAGGGGGCTAAGCGGGCGCAGCACAGGCTAGAGAAGAGATGGAGTGATGTGGTACAGGAGGACGTGGAGCTGAGTGGACTTGCCGATGACTGGTACCAGCGGTGTCAAGATCGGCCTCTGTGGAGGAGGCTCGTGAAGGATGCTACTGGGCAGTTGGAGGCAGTCGCCCTCCAACAACAACGGAGGGCGGAGGAGCGACGCTCACAACAGCGAGCGGAGCGCCCGGTGGCTAAAGCACAGCAGGTTGGCACAGTAGGGGGCACAGGTGGTGCATCAGCCAGTCATCTCAGTCAGTCGACCCGTGGCACCTGGGTCTGCCCCGTGACCTCCTGCCAGCGGGCGTTCGACACTTCACGTGGCCTCAGGGTGCACATAGCCTGGCACAAGCGTCGTGGTGATGTCACCGCCACTTAGTGGCGAATGGCGGTTGTTGTTGTGTAGGTGTGTGTAGGTGTGTGTGTAGGTGTGTGTGTGTAGGTGTGTAGGTGTGTGTGTAGGTGTGTGTGTAGGTGTGTAGGTGTGTGTGTAGGTGTGTAGGTGTGTGTGTGTAGGTGTGTGTGTAGGTGTGTGTGTGTAGGTGTGTGTGTGTAGGTGTGTGTGTGTAGGAGTGTGTAGGTGTGTAGGTGTGTGTGTAGGTGTGTGTGTAGGTGTAGCTGAGCATTTCTGTGAGATCCTGGGGGAGGGAAAATCCCTCAGCCAGGAAAACATCGTGGCACAAAGTGAGGATGACCCTGCTGAGGCTGCGGTGCCTCAAATATTGGATGAAGTCACCCCCTGTGAGTGGCTGGCTGAGGTGCCATCTGCTGAGGAAGTATTGAAGGCGATCCGGAGTCTGAGACCAGGAAAGGCAGCGGGCAGAGTTGATCTCCCAAGCGAAATGCTGAGGGAGGGTGGCGTTTGTGCACAGACTGCCCTATATGACATCATAACAACAGTCTGGACCACTGGACGGGTTCCGCAGGATTGGAAGGATGCCCTGGTGGTCCCCCTTTTTAAGAAGGGGGACCGCACAGACTGTAACAACTACAGGGGCATCTCACTCCTCAGTGTGCCGGGAAAGGTCCTGGCAAGGATTATTCAGCATCGCCTTGCCAGGCACGCTGAGGAGAGGCTTGCGGAGCCCCAATGCGGTTTCAGGAAAGGGCGGTCCTGCACAGATGCCATATTTTCTGTCCGTCTGCTACAGCAGAGGTGTAGGGAATTCCAACAAGACCTACATCTCTGCTTTATTGACCTGGTCAAGGCCTATGATACCATCAGTAGGCCTGGGCTCTGGGTCGTTCTTCGTGCTTTTGGAGTACCTGACCCTCTGCTCACGATCATTAAGGACCTTCATGATGGTGAGCGGGCCTGGGTAAAAGTACGTGGCCGGGAGTCAGAGCCATTCCCTGTACACCTTGGGGTGCGACAGGGATGTCCTCTGGCTCCCACATTATTTAACATCTATTTTGACCACGTAGTTCGTGAAGCCTTCAATAGCTGTACCGGGGGAATCTCCATATGGTACAGATATAATGGGAGGCTAATCGATGCCCGGGTGCGGTCAAGGGATGGCTCCCTATTGCTCAACCACGTTATGTATGCTGATGATTTGGTAATAGCTGCTCAGTCAGAGGAGGAGTTGGAGACGCTGCTGCTGAGACTGGAGAGTGCCACTAAGAGGTGGGGCCTTACC